ATTGCAATTCCTTTCCCGGTTTAATAAGTTCTATATGTATATGTACGTAGGCTCCGATAAGATAATCACAAACATGCACTAAATAGGGTTGTCGGCATCATGCAAGGCCACACATCAGCACACTTAGACAGCTCCCAGACCCCCAAAGGATCTAGTAAACAAAATCAGTCCTTGTGCTGACCAATGTTAAGGTAGTGCATGAACATGTGTATCTGTGCATATATATATATATGTATACGTATGTGTATATATATATATATAGGTCTGTATGCATGCATGCATGTATGTATGCCTGGATGCAGGTTTCTGTCTTTTTGGAGCGGGAATGTGTATCCTTTCCGGACCTGCGCAGAGCTCTGGCATTCAAGTTCTGTGGACCCTGAACTGTGGACGTGCTCGGGCATTTGGGCCTCCTAAACCCTAAGCCCCAAACCCAACAAACCCTAAACCCAAAGCACATAAACCGAAATCCTAGACCGCCACAAACCAAAAGCCTTAAACTGAAATACTCCTCGGTCCAAAAAATGGCGTCAGCTGTTAGAATAGGGTTTTGGCATCGATTACACTACTACTTTTTTCAGGAACTCTAAACCCGAGACCCCTGCAATAGCCCTTGTAGAGCCACAAACCCTAAAGAGGAACCATTCTCCAAACCCTAACCCAAAGCCCATAACCCGAAATCCTGGACCACCAAAAACAAGCCTCTCTAAACCCTAAAGCCTAAGCCAAAGCCCTAAACCCTCAACTCTAAACCCTGAACTAGACCCGAAAACCCATATAGGAATAAGACGGGCTCCCTTTTTGGTATTGGGTACCTATATAAGGAGCCTAGAACTACAAAAAGGGAATAAGGGCACTACTGGGCATCCTGCATATACTATTTGGGCCCGAGCAGCTGATGCTATCTGCCTGCCTTGGTCGTCTCTTAAATGGGTCTGGGCTTCGGGCCGAGGTTCCTCTGTAGGGGTTTAGGGTTTTAGGGGTTTTAAGGGTTTCAGGGCTTTTAGGGGTTTAGGGTTGAGGGGTTTAGGGCTTTAGGCTTCTATGGCTTGAGGATTTATATAGGGCTTAATTAGGCTTCTGAGGTTGTAGGGGTTTAGGGTTTAGGGGCTTCGGGTTCAGGGTTGATGAGGGTTTAAGGTTGAGGTTTTTAGTGTTTTTAGGGCTTCAAGGTTTCAGGGCCTTTATTGAAGGCTCTTGCGCGAGATCTACATGGGTGGTTCTCTAAAATAGGGTCTAAGGGTCCTTTTGGTAAGGGTGCCGTACTATTTTCCTGCTATCTTGGTGACCTAAACAGGGACACTAATTTCGAGGACAACCTACACGGTTCTGGGCTTCGGGGTGAGTTTAATGGTCTTTTCCACTCAGTACATAGTTGAAAACCCTAAACTCTAAACCCAAAACCCCTAGACCTCTAAACCCTAAACCCCTAAACCCAAAATCTTACACGGCATCATCGGATCCTATCACCATTCTTCTGGAGTTGGGGGTTGGGAGTTTGCGTTCAGGGCCAAGTTACGGTAGCTCGCTCTTTCGTGCTTAGATCAAACTACCATACTGTGATCCTCTGGAGGGCTCTTACTGCGAACCCCGGCATATAAGTTAGGGCCCCTAGCAAAGCAGGCTTTGGTAGCTAAGGTAGATAAGGGTCGCAGCCTTCTTTCTGCACGCTGCACGTATACAATGCATACAACTGCTCTCTACGTTTAGGGTTTGATGAGGTTGTCATGCCACCGTCAGCCAAAACGAGGACACCAGACATTACCAAAAGCTTCCTTTCAACACATCCTGACTTAAACTGATTTTAGAGTCCGTGGTAATTACCGCGGGTTAGGCTATTTTTGAGTCCCACGGCAAAAGAATCAGGGTTTAGGGTTCAAGTAAGGCCAGAAGCGTCTTAGAGAATGTCGTTCCAAAGGCATCGTGGCACATCTCGTTCAACCACCGTCAATGTGTTTTTTGGTAGCTCTTCTCTGGTTAACAAGCAGGTCTGCGAAATGTCCATAAACCCCTAAAGCCTGAACCCTGACCTTGTGGTTTTCGGCCGTAAGCCCAAACCCATCCACGTTGCATCCCAGCTTGCGGTATGTCTGAGAGCAGCTGGAGGGCGGCTCGCCACTGCCCGGCCTTCTCACAGGCACCTGGGCTTTAAAGTAACCAAGCAGAACAGGCTTCGGGTTTAGGGTTAAAGGGTGTAGGGTTTAGGGTTGTGCTTCATATTCAAGAAACGGCTACAACACAACGAAGTATTAAAGCATGCTCCTCCAAAACCCGGAAACCCCAAAACCCCCAACCCTGAAACCCTAAGACCCCTGCCCTAAAACCTAAACCTCCAAAAAAACAGCATTAAAGTATGGTAAGTACTCCAAACCCTAAACCCTAAACCCCAAACCCTAAACCCCGAAACCCCAAACCTTAAACCCTAAACCCAGGCGCTGATGCAGGAGTTGATGCAGATAGAATTCTGCTCGACGGCCGAGGATGTCATGTCTGAGAGAAGCTGCACTGCCGCTTGCCACTTTCCTTACTTCAAGGATCATGGGACTTAGTAACTAGGGTTCCTTAAAGGGTTCCTTGAAGGGGATCTATAAGGGGCTATAAGAGGGGTTTTAGGGTTTACTGAAAGGATCCTCCAAGTACTTCCGCTAAAGGTCCACTAGGATTCTATAGGGGTTCTATCAGGGATCCTGTGAAAGCTCTCTCATAAGGGATTTCTTGGGATTCTTCCTACAAGGACTTACCCAAGTAGTATATACTTTGGCCTTAGGTTGATCCCTAGCTACTTTGAGAGGGTCTGGTACGAAAAACCCAACACCCTAAACTCAGCCTTGTGGGTGCACATAAACATGCCCAAAGACTGCCCAAAGGCTCCAAAGAGGGTCTTGGGCTTTCCGGGGGACGGGGCGGGGGGGGTTCGGCTTTGGGGGCCAGGGTCCGGGATCTCACTACAACGGTCCAGGAGCCCTAAGGTGCTAGATGCCAGATGGGTGGTTGTCAAAATTAGGGTCCCTTTTTGGGTACCCTAAATATTAGGTGCCGTCTTATAAGAAGGACCCCCAAAAGGGACCCTAATATTGACAACCACCCAGATACTACACAAGTTTCCCCTAGGCATCTAAGGACTCATATATTAAGGCTTTTGGGCCCAAAGACCATGCTATATAAGGCTTTTGTGCTAATTTCATGCACAGGGTTCCATCTTCGGCGAAGCATGCAAGGCATGCCCCAAAGCTGATGACGTCCGCCGGCGCCATGGAAGGCAAGATCTGCGAGAAGAGGTGCAACGCCTGGGCTTGTTGACCCAAAGGGTCCTTTGTACTGTTACGGGGGATACTTCCCTAGGTCATTGCAGTAATTTTGGTATGGGAACCCTACATTCTACTATATCGGTAGATAGGACCCTTTGGTTAAGGAACTGAACTTACCACAATAAAGAAACCATATTTACTACAGATCCCTATATTATGGTAACTTAAGCTAGATTTCCCAGAAAACAGGAACCCAGATTACTATAGATCCCTGTTATGGTAACTTATAAGTTAAACTTCCCAGAAAACGAGAGCCCAGATGCCAGGAGCCAGCGCCCACCACTGGCAGTCGCTCTAATCACAGCGTTGCAGCTGATCACGTCTGCCGATACTCCTCGAGAGTCCCATCGAAGGCAACAAAACTTAAACTGGAAAGGGCGATGTCTAGGATTTAGGGTTTGGGGTTTAAGGTTTAGGAGTTTAGGGTTTGGGGTTTAAGGTTTAGGGGTTTAGGAGTTTAGGGTTTGGGGGTTAGGGCTTCGGGGTGGGGAGGGAATCCTAATCCTCAAAAAGCCAACACGAGCAAGCCGTGAACCAAGGATGCTCAAAACACCACCGAACCTTAAAACCCAATCTCTACAGCCGCAAATGGGAGTTTCCGAGAATAGCGGACCCGAAATAGTACCCCAAAACATGGGATCCTTATATTGGAAAGACCCCAAAATAAGGAACCCCTAGCCTCATTTCCGGAAACTCCCAAATTTTGAACCAAGCCCTGAGACACTCAACAACCGAACGGACAAGTCTCCCAAAGACGGCATGCCCACCAGGAGGAGATGAAGAGCCTTCTCCCATTGCCTGAGCTCTTGCTGCACCGTTGCTTACCCAGAGGGTCCATACTCCAAAAAGAAAGGGGTTTACCTGGACCCTCAGACTTAAGTTGCCATATCAGAGATAACAGATGCTTGTGCCGACTTAACAGCACCCAGATCTGTTCAAACACAAGCCCTATGCCTCCAGGGACCTTATTCTGAGGTCCGTAAGGGTTCTCGGGCCCTAGCTATGAGGTCCTTGAGGGATAGGGAAGTAACGAAAGCTCGGCCCGGGTAGACTCGTTAACCCAAAGCCCCTGAACCCTAAGCATCCTAGGGCTCTAAACCCTAAGCCCTACTTGGAGGATCATGGGACTTAGTAAGTAAGGTTATAAGTACCTGAATTAGGGTTATAAGTAGTTATAAGTATAGTTGCCCTGGATAGAACCCTAGTTACTAAGTCCCATGATCCTCTAAGTAAAGTACCATTTAAGGAGCCCTAAACCCTCTTGAAGAGAGCCCAAGGGCCGGGATTTTTCGCAAGCGCTGAAGCTGGCATTGCAACTGATAAGGTCCGGTGAGAGCCCAGCTTCTGGCATCCTGCAAACCCCAAGCCCTCTACATCACGAAACTGGGGACATGGCACACGTTATCAACATATGTCAAAACAAATACACACACACTTATATATATATATATATATATATATATAAGGGCTCAGATCGCCAGCAGCGGCTGGATCCACTGTAGCCCCAGTGTCACCGGACACGACAGGATAGCTCCTCGCTCGAAGCCATCACCTGGGTGGCACCGCAGCGAGCGCCTTAAACGCTCCAGAGCACGGCGCAGAGTACGAGCAGCCAAACGAGCTGCACACAGGCCGCGACAAGCGGACCTCCACCTACTCATTGAACACCACTCTGGCGGTCGTGGCTTTGTTATGGGCAAAACATGGAAGCAAAGAGGAGGATACGATCGCAACCAAGACGGTTGGGATGGAAGTGGCTATGGACATGTGCCATACTTGCCCAAGGAGAAGCTCTGGAGGGGAGCTTATTCTCCCAGGGCACCGTGGAAGCGAGGCGAGGATGCCAGACCGCCTGCCTTCCCCAGCTACACCCAACTTGCGCCCAAGGAGAGTACGACCCACACAGCTGCAGCAGCCCCTACATTTGTGCCAGATGCTACACTCTCGGAACTCCAGAAGACCCTCACCGCTGCCCGCAAAGCGGAGAACCGAGTCCGAAGCCTGCTTTCGCAGAAGGAGAAGAACGAGCAACAATGGGAGGCCTACAAAGATACAATGGAGAAGACCTTCATCCAGGAACACAAGAGATTTGTGGCAGGAGCTGCCAAGATACAACGAGACCTGGATGCAGCAGTGGCGCACCAGGACGAGGCCAGACAGGATGTGCGAGCAGCCTACAATGGGGAACCAGTCAAGCCCTCCCGAGCCGCGGAGCAGGAAAAAGCAGCCCTCTCGGCATGGGATGCCATGCGAGATATGTGGGAAAGATCCCAGGATGTCGATATGGAAGGAGTACTTCACAGGGCAGTCAATGGTCAGCCCTCTACAACAACTGCACCGGAAGCTGCTCCCTTGAGGAAATTGAAGCCAGAGTTCCTGCAACAGTTGCTTGCCGATCCTGGAGTCCAGGCTGCCTTTTGGGCAGCAGCCCCACAAGGCGGCCCAGGACATGCAGATGGATCACACATGGGGGCACCGACCTTCGATGTCCCCACCTTTGGCGGCTCGGCAACAGCGGGACACGGACTCATGACATCGCAGCCTCCGGGGATCACCACCGTGGAGGACCCGGACGATCCCCGCCATGGACAACCGGATCCTGCCCCAAGTACAGGAAAGGCCGAGGCGATGGCAGGTGTCCACCCTGGGCAGCGCGACCTTGGAGCCTCGCGAGTCCCTTCTCACGAAGGGCCTCCCCGGCCAGATGTCAAGACGGCCACCAGGACCACCCCACAGAGGCCAACAGTTCACAAAGGCTTGGGAGAAAAGTTAGAAGAGAAAAGGCAGCAAGCCAGACAAGGAGTGGCGATGCATCCATTTGGTCTCCCGGGTCACGCGAGCGGAGGACCCATCCATGTCGAACCTCACATGGAGACCAACGTGGACGACAACGACGAAGAGCTGGACCGTGTGGACGGTCACAGATCACCAGGTCTGGGCAAGCTAGAGTAACACGACTGAGGACTAGGGCCACATGGCTTGTATATTTTCGAGTGACGCTCTTGAGGGTGCCAGCAGACCTGACCTTTGGATGTTGGTGTGGATTCGGGTTGGGAGGGCAAGATCCGGTTGAGACTTCAATGGGGAAGTCTCGCTGTGCTTGCGACCCCCTCGACCAACGATACCACACGGACAGACAATGCGACAGTTTTGCTGAGTACCCTCTTTTTCACCTCGCTGTGTACAGACTTCAGGTAGGCTGTTGTGTGTCCCTTGGCTTGGATTCCTTTTGGCCGACCTGTATGCCTTTATTCCTCGCTGACGTCATCCTCGGCTGCCTTGGATGCTCCTTGGGCTCTGGAGTGTCTTTGGGTAAGCCCTCGCCTGGCAGTGAGGTATGTATGCCTCCATGCAGCCCTGCCAACAATCAGGGCATTTATGCTGCCCCCTCTTGGACTTCTCGAGCGCTAAAGAAACACATCGGTAGCTCAGGGGTGTTCGCCGATTTTGAAGTCCAAAGGCCGGGCAGTATTGATTTAGTCCCCTCAAGAGTCATCTCGCCACCCACTTGGCTGGAGGACCCCTTGCTGGTGATCCTACTCCACATCACCTCCTTCTTAATCCCCCTGGCCAGGGCAGTACTCTTCATTCTGTTCCTCGCCGTTTTTCGACTTCTCTGCGGGGCACTGCCCAGCCGTCGAGAGCCATTGGGAAGACTTCTCATGCTCCCCAGTGTTGGAGTTGACCCGGGCATAACACGTTGCCTTGACATAGGGGTCCGAAGGCACGTTCCAGGGTGTTCCTGGGCACTTCACAGTGCTGACAAACGCCAGCCTAAGCAAGCCCATCCCCCCAGAGGACGGCAAAGTCGGCGTGGGTCTGTATGGCGGTTTCTCCTTGGATGTCTCCCTGCGTGCAGCATCCCGGCAAGACTTGGGACCGAGCAATGCGGCCTGTCCTTTTGTGCCGGCCTTGCAAGTTTGCCTGTTGCTGCCACCATGCCTCAGGACTTGCCTGTCACTGGAGGTTTTGATCCCTTGCCAGACGACCTACCTTTGTCCAACACTATACAGTCTGTTTCCGGTATAGGCAACTATGACGAAGGGCAGGTCGTGACACCTTGTGGAAGCACACAAGATGCTGCAGGAATACCAGATGAACAGAGTCGCGAGCCGAGCTCCCCCCGGCCCTCGCCACTCACCACAAAGTACTTTACAGTGCTTTGCCCGCAGCACCATACTGAGCTTGTGCCAATTGTTGTGCGCATTCCAGGCACCGCCACTGAGGAAATCCTTAGCGAAGTCCTCGGAGGCCTGTCCGAATTGAGGCTTGAATTCGCAAGGACTCTTGTCCCTACATCCCCTCAACTTGACCCAGGCTCAGCCTCGCTTGTACTTGGAGGATCTTGGCATCAGGCTTTTGGGGACGCCATTCTCGTACTCGACTTCAGACCCATTGGGGGTCCGTGCTATGCCCAGCACTTTTTTACAGAGGCACGATACAGTGACCTACAGAGTGAAGCCACCTATCATGGTGTTGGCTCCTACCATATCTTTCTGTTTGGGAGTTCTGAACCCCTCCTGCCCGGGTCGTCCTTTCTCTGCGTCCATGGAGGCGTTGTTCAGTTTAGACCTGAACATGAAGCCCCGGTCTGGTATGGTGATTTTGCACAAAGACTAGGCAGTGCCTCAGCATGGACTCATCCCACTTTCGACTCTGATCAGAAGGACCGGCCTCTACTGTCGATCGGAGATGTCGCTCACAGTACACCTCGCTGGACGGTGCCTTGTGCAGAAAAACTCCTACCAGCTGCCTCTGATTTCTATCAAAGGTCACCCTCCCAAATCACAATAGCGGAGCCTTCCACTGCCCATTTCGCCCACGTCAGCCACCATGGCTGCAACTGTTCTGGAATTGCTGCGGTGCAATGCGCACCCCCTCCGACGGGTCTTACCCCGCCCGGGCACTTTCTGTTCCTAGACGGCCGGCAAGTCGGTTATCCGCCGACTTATTTGTGGACTCTTGACCCAATCGTCAATCTGAGTCACATTGCTAGGCTTGCAGGTATTCACAGGTTGCCCCGGAACTACCATCTTGCAGTTGCACATGCCACGCCTGACGTCCAGCAAAATTGCATTCGAATCCGGCATGGAGATACTGTTGTTTTCGGTTTCCGAACTGAGGAAGAGTCCGAGGATAGTGCAAGGCTTGGTGCCTCCTCCTCTGAGGCTGCAGATGCTGATTCCGAAACCTCCACTAAATCACCTGGAGTCCATCTCCCTGGAGATCAAGGGTCAGTAGCAAGCCCAACCTCCGATAGCAGGGACAGTAACCGTAGCCGTACTCCCCGAGGGCATTGCCATTGGGATTCTAGTGCAGCTCCTGGTTCCCCCTGTGAAGAGTACCCTACTGCCGGAGTTCCCACCCAACCGCTGCCCGATGCATGTAGTCACGAAAGCCCTCCCCCGAGCGCGCAGCATGCCCTACTGCACCGCAGGCTGTTAGAAGAGTTCACAGGCCCATCAGTGCCTAGCCAGGCGCAAATACCTGGAGAATGCAGACATGAAGCCAAGCGTGCGCCACAGCCCATAAACCAACACAGGTTTGCCAATGATCTCGGGCACGCGCTGCATCCCGGTGACGCCACAGCTGCACACCATAACGGCCTCGACCCTGCCACGCCAGGTTATGCTGCCCCAGCACCACGGCCTGATACAGGCCATGAGGAAGAAGGAGGTGAGAGCGAACTAGGACTTCAGATAGGCCAGTTCATAGTCATAGTCCCAGACAGTCTTCCTGAGCAGATTGCTATTGTCCTCGATGAGACCACCACCAGTAGGGATGTGCTTGCAGTCGCAGCGAGGGAAGTTGATGAGCAAAGACTAGCACATTTCCCTCTCCTGTTGCCTATCGTCCCTCAGCCAGACAGCCATTGGGGAACATTGCTCTCGCTGCCCTCTTGGGCTCACGATGAGCCAATAGCCTGCATCGATACCCGGGAACTCGACGGGAGACTCTTTGCCACTGACGTTCCCCGCCACGCCACCAAAGAACAGCTTTGTCGACGAGCTGGCTTCGAGGCCACAGAACCAATTGGGGTTTTTGCCTATGGGAGCACCACCCCTCTAGGGCCTGATGACATAGCTACCTTTGTCCCCGGGGGTTTGATAGTCATTTCAGACCGACCCGATCAGAGAGCCCAGCTCCCATCTCTAGAGCAACTTCTTCTGTTGCAGCACAGTTGGGATGCTGATCCTGAAATACCTTATGGACCTGCAGGTCGCCATCACTGTTGTGTTACTGGAGGACAGCGGCTTATCACCCATAACCCGCAACTCCATCCTGAGTTACACAGCAGCATTGCGGCCGCCTTACAGCTCAATCTCGAGCACACAGACATTTTGCCGGCTACCCCGCCAGTCACTGATGCAGCCATCAACGGGCATCACTGCCTCAGTGTTCAAGCAATAGTCTCCCACTTTGCTGGCGACAAGGACCCAGACCTCATTGTCGGTCTCCTTGACTGCCGCCCTCTTCTCCAGGGCTGGTCATTGATCGCTGCACCCGGAGGCCGTACATCATACCTTGACCTTGTCACTGTTCTTGACACCTTTGCGCCGCAGGGGTGGACTTCTAGGATAAATACAGGTGACCTTGATGAAGCCGGAAATTTTCAGGTCGCCCCGGGTCAAGTCTTTACGGCCAGCTATGTCTCAACTGCGATTCCTGAGGATGTTTCTGACAATGCCTCGGGTGAGGATGTCGGGGCTGACGGCCCTCCAGAGGACCCACACCCTAGAACATCACCCGTTCACGGCCCACCTGATCTTCCTCCAGCAGCCCCAGATCGGCACTCTAGAAGCCGGTCCCCCCCAGCCAGGACTACACCGTGTGCAGCTCTGCTCCTTCACAAAGATGGACTGGCAGCGACTCACATTAGTAAGCTGCCACACTTTGATTGGATTGACCCCACCCCTTCCTTCAGTCGAGTAGTCATGCAGGGCCTCAGTTCTTACCTTGGGCGTTTCCCTTGTTCCTGGAGCCTTGCCTCTGTCCTCCTAGGTCGGTGTGGCAAACAAGAGATGCAATACCAATCCGAATGGGTCGTAAAAGGTCTTATTCGCCTCTTGGAGCCTCAGGGTCACTGGCCGTCTTGGCCAGGTGACACACCCCATGAGAAGAGGCCACCCTGCCCGGAAGACAACCTAGGCACCCAAGGACATAGTAGGGAGCCGGGGCAATGGCGAGAAGTTGCTAACACCCAACGTACTGCAGGACATGACGATCCTGGATGGGTGTATACTGCTCCTTCACCCCTTGACACGCCTCAGACACAGGATGGGGAGTCCGCTGAGGCTCTGATGCCTCAGTTGCGTAATTTGCCCTTCTTTGTCGCTGTGCCTGGATATCAGTTGCAACGCCATAGGGTAGAGTTAGAACTGCCGGCGATACTCCCTGAGGCCCTTGCCGTTGTCCGGAATGCGCGCTCCGCACAAGACAGGCGCAATTTCCCTGTTCTTACAGCCGCCCGCCCACAACCCATCAATGGAGCGGGTCTTTTCCTTGCCGATGCTGCCTGGGATAATCCTTATCCCACACTCTGCCTTGACACCACTGTCTTTGACGGCAGGCTCTTTGCTGTCGTTGGTCGGTTTTATGCCGATAAGCACTCGTTGCTGATCCTTGCCGATCTTCCCCTAGGCTTGAATGTCGATATTTACGTCGGCACATCACCCGACCCGATTGCAGAAGGACAGGAGCAGCAAATGACCCATGGGGATGTCATCAAGTACCAGCCCGCAGGCACCCGACTCCCCCACAGGTATTCACTTGGGTTTTGCCTTCAGCACCCTGGGCTCTGGGATGCTTGTTCCTTTTCGGGTTTAGTTGCCCCGCCAGACGTGTATGGACTTGTGCATGACAGCCAGTGCATTCTTCATCTACCAGGTCCTTCCACACCAATGAATTTTCGGCGACATATCGCAGCCACCATCGGCACGGACGAGGCTAGGCTTCGCCTCTTCCCATCAGTGCCCAGGGTCAGCAATGCTGAGATTTCCGGGCACCCAGTTCGTAACATTGTTGGCGTCTCTGAACTCGCTGGGGAGTTCACTCGCACATCCTGCTGTGTTCTACTTGACGCTCGGCCACTTGGCCAACAGTGGCATGAAATTCACGTCCATGGGGACCACTTTGAACCTCTCGCCCTTAGTGCAGACTTCGACAGACATGCACCTGCAGGATGGCGCACCAGAATACAGGACGCCAACGGGGAAGAGGTAGGGGGTAGGATAGTGCCGGGGCAGGTTCTTGAAGCTGTCTACGTACCCACAGGTTTTGGGCGAGAACGGAGTATAGCTGAGCCCATCAGCAATGCCCTCGATGATGATCCTGCTGCTGCTCCAGGTATTCCGCCCGTAGCCCCTCCTGCCACTGCCTCTGCGCTTGGAACAGCTGCTGCGCAAGACCAAAGGGATGCCATCGCACCAGATCACCCTGGTGTCCTGCCCCGTCCAACTGATGACCCCACATCCAGCCACACTGACGGCCCTGCATTTGCCAATTGCATCTTCCTCATCCTTGGGCAGAACTATTGCCCTGAAGTTGTTCAAGTTCGACTCAGAGTTGGCTGCCCTGAGACTGAAGCCCTTGAGACAGTTAACGCCGCCAGATCTCCTGTCTTCCGAGGGTACCTACCGCGGATATGCTCGGTCTACCCTCAGACAATCCAAGGGATAGCTGTTCTTGTTGCGGTCCCGCTTTGGCCGGTCACTGGAGCTATTGTTGTCCTTGATACCATGCGTATCAATGGACAAATCTGCGCCCAACAGCTCCCAAGCATTATTACCAGAGAAGGCGCTTGCATTGCTGCCCGTGTGTCCCTTCATGCACCACATGAGCTATATGTTCATGATATGCCATGGCCAGCACAACCTGGCATGCAGCTTGGAGTGTCCCACGGTGACGCCCTCTTGATTGTCCCTTCGGACACCAGGCACTTTGTCCTTTCTGATCTTACCACCATGCTCCATGACCCAGATTGTTGGAATACGGACTGGACGCCAGACGTGCCCTTTGCAGAACGAAGCTGGATCATCTCTGAAAGTAGGGACTTCCTTTTCCCCATCCTCCCTGGACGCAGAGACCAAGTCAGCCGGGATGTAGCCAGCCTCTTAGGCCTGCCCACAGCGAGCTTCCGGCTCTTTGCGCCTGACCCCAGCATAATCACTTACGCCGATAACGGCGTCCCGGTTCAGCATGTCCTTGCAGCGGTTCAGCTTGAAACGCGGGCAGGCGTACAAAGAGCTAGGCCACCTGCCTGCTTTGTCGACTGCCGGCCACTCTTGCAGACTGTCCGGGTGCTTTTCGATGCCGAAGCCTGCCTAGACACCCAGCGCCTTGCACACCTTTTCTGGCGCTGCCCTGCAGGATATGTCCTATGCTACCTCTCTTCTTCAGGACTATTCCAGCCTCTGGGCGATACCCTCACATTTGCGGACCGAAGCGTCATTGTCCTTGCGTATGTCCCTGCAGTCCTCGTCCATACCGGGGATACCTTAGAATCCGAGGCGCAGCACAACGACGGCACTGACCAAGACAGCCCCGAGCACGACCGGAGCTCAGGAACCCAAGAGAGCCACCCTGGCGATAGAGCGCCTTCTTCTCACAGCAGATCCACAGGCCATGATGCAGGTACAGGTGGCTCCAGGCATGCCCAAGGTCGCCCCTTGCCTCCTCAGACCGGATTGTCAGTCTGTGCTTGTGGGTCCCTCTGCATTATCATTTGCATTGGTGGTCTCTCTGAAGCCGGTGTTTTCATTGGGATCCTCTTCGCTGCCATTCAAGGGGCCTGGGTACTTCGGTTTGGGTTTGCAGTCTGCCTTTTGCCTGCAGTCACCGCAATGCAATTCCAGCGGACAGAGCTCCATGCCCCTGATGTACACCGAGCCGACTATGACAGTCGATGTATCAGTATCCCTGACATCCTCAGGATACCGACACCTTGTCGAAACAGCAAACAGGCCTGCCCCTTGACAGGTCCTGCAGGCAATTCTGAACCTCTTGGTGAGCCGACTAACTGCCCACACGACCAGGAATTGCGGAGTATCATAGACTCTTGGCCAGTTGACACTCTGCTCAATCAGAGTATGCGGAGTAATCCTGAGCCCTTCTTCCTTGCTGCCACTCTTCTTGATACCCTGTGTGAGCATTTCGCTGGCTCTTCAGACGGAGTCCACCCGTGCAGACTGCTTCGTCTGGCAGATCATCTCCCACCCTGCCCTCAGTTTGATTTGACTGCCACGACTATGAACGTTAGCTGTACACTTGATCAGCTACAAGCATTTCTGCAAACTCGATGGCAGCTACACTCCAACCTTCCCTCTGCACTGCACCTGCACCCTGCCACAGAAAGTGCCCTAGCCGATCACTGCCATATAGCCCGGGACGCAGTCCTCGCCGTCGAGATCTATACTGACGGGTCTTTTCACAGTGACCTCAGCACCTGGGCCTTTGTAGTACGAGTTACTGACGGCTACCACTGGTCTGTATTCGGCTGGGCCAGGGGAACAGTCGCACTTGCTGGCTCTGTAGCCTCTGTTGGAGCTCTCCAACATTCTGCCATTGAGGGCGAGCGCAGTGCACTCTTTTGGGCCACGGCATGGGCCATCTGTAGTGGTTTCACCTGCCCGATCTCTTTCTGGGGAGACAATAGTGCAGCCCTAGGGCAGACCAGAGGCACATGCGGCAGCGCAGATAGCTCTGCCTCTGCAGCAGCTTGCCGGGCAGTCTCACAAGCAGCTGAGGCCATTCGGGGAGCCCCTCTTCTTGCCTATGGGCACGTTAAGGCCCATCAAGGTCAAGCCTTCAATGAATTGGCAGACACACTTGCCAAAGCGCATCACCTTGGGGATACTCCCATCCCAGACGCTGTGCGCCAGGTTGCAGGTTGGGCTCGGGCTGGTAGCCTTGACTGGCTATGGCTTCTGATCGAATCCACTGCTCGACCGGATCTTTGGCCACGCCACCAGGGACCCATCTTGTTAGACCCTATCGGGAAGTCAATGCCCATCCCGAACCCACGCCGGGAGTTCCTTAGTCTGCAGCCAGAGCCTGTCCCCGCAGAGGCTGCTGCTTTGACAGACGCCCACCTTGCTCTTCGGTTGGTTACGATTAACGTACAAACATTAGAGGAAGACGGGCATAAAAATCTACCCGGCCGTACCCCGTACATCCGAGCCCAGCTTCACGAGCAAGGCGCTACTTTCATCGGACTACAAGAGACGCGCTCAAAAAGAACTGAGACGATTGTTTCCCAGACGCACCTGCGCTACACCTCTGCCGCAGACGCCTCAGGCAATCTTGGTGTGGAACTCTGGATCTCACGCCATCATCCATTTGCGTGGCAAGGTCAGGTCCCAGCCAGAGCTTCTCCATCGGACTTCCGGGTAGTCGGGTGGTCACCTAGACACCTGTTTGTTCGCTGCCAGAGGGATACGATCAGGTTCCTCCTCACTGTGTGCCACGCTCCCACAACGGCCGATGCGCACCGCAACAGCTGGTGGAAGGGATTCTCGGATGCCTTGATAAGTGCCTCTAGGGGTGACCCCGTGATCATTTTAGGTGACCTTAACACGCGATTCACAGACCCCATCCCAGGTCATGTAGGCGAACTCTGCTGGGAAAAGGAACAGGACATTCCCGAACAGCTGATGCGCCTGCTAAAAACACTTAATCTCTGGATACCAGCGACTTACCAGTGCTGCCACGATGGCCCATCGTACACTTGGGCTGCCCCCGGCAGCGGAAGTAAGTCCCGGTTAGATTACGTGATCATCCCAGGGGAGTGGCAAGCCGCCCCCGGCTCTTCGCGCACACTCCTTGATGTTGATTTTGGACAGACAGGAGTCGACCATTTTGCTGCTCAGCTCGACGTGAGTGTCACTCTCACTCGACAGACCCGGAAACCTGTCAAGGGTCGTAGGATCGATGTTCGAAAAATGCGGGACCCCTTGTCGAGGGACATCGTTCGTACAATTTGTCGTACTACCCCAGATGTGCCTTGGAACGTCGATGTTCACACCCACTGCGACCTGGTCACCCGACATCTCGTTGATAGTCTTGCCCTTGCTTTCCCATTATGCGGTGCCGTATGCCGCCGAGCATACTTCACGGCCACCACATGGGCCTTCCGCCAGCAGCGAACCGCCTGTCGCAAAATCCTTCACCGCGGTATAGCTGCCCTCAGCCTGGGGGAAACCGGTGCGGCCTTTTGGGCTTGGCGAACACCTGCTAACTCTACCAGCATATGGCGTCTCACTGTTGCCGGGTCCCTCAAGTGGATTCACGGCACAAGTCAAAGCATCCGGCAATTCAAGGCACTTAAGCCAATGCTTCGTCGGTCTATCAGGACTGACCGGGCCTCTTACCTTCGAGAGACGGCCCAACAAGCAGCGACTTCCCCAGCCAAGTCTGTCTACGAAAAACTTCGACCGCTCCTTGGCCCGCCCAAACACAGACGACGGGGGCTGCAGGAACTTCCAGCGATCGCCCTCGAGAATGGCGAAATAGCCCAAACGCGTGCCGAGACTGAAGCAAGATGGATCCGCCACTTCAGTGCTGTCGAAGCCGGGCACCCCGAAGATCCCTTAGACATTGTGGGAAAGTGTCTTGCCCGCCAACATGGGGAAGCACCAGTTGAACTCAGCCTAGAAGCTGAGGATGTTCCGACCCGCACCCACATTGAGAGCTCTATTAGGAAAACCCCTTGTGGTAAAGCAGCTGGGAAGGACAATGTGCCGCCTGACCTCCTACACCACTTCGCCTCTGATCTCTCACTACCCGTCTATCGGCTGGCTCTGAAGGCCTTTTTCAGGCAGACCGAACCGCTGCAGTGGAAAGGTGGTGAATTGTTTCATGTGTGGAAACGCAAAGGTTCCGCACTAGACTGCAGTAGCTACAGGGCCATCCTCGTCAGCTCAACCCTTGGTAAGGCTGTGCACGGAGCCTTCCGGGAGAAGACTGGCCCAGTCTTTGACAGGGCAGCAGCGCCGTTACAACTTGGCGGAAGACGCGGCTGTCCTGTCCAACTCGTCGTGCAAGCTGCACGCCTCTTCCAACAGGCCTGCACGGCCCGAAGGCAGTCTAGCGCTCTCATATTTGTAGACCTTAAGGAAGCGTTCCACCGTGTCGCAAGACCCCTCGTACATGGAGGTGAGGTAGGTTCGGAACACCTTGCCGCTGTAGTCACTGCCTTAGGACTGTCTGAGGACGTAGTGCCTCAGCTACAGCATTATGCCCAAAGTGCCTCGCGCTTCCGCACCGCCGGCGCCTCCGAATGGTCTTCTGCCATGCTCGCCGAATTTGGGCGTGATACGTGGTTTTGTCACGGGCAGGGAGAAGGTACAGCCACAGTCACGTCGGGCACGCGACCCGGCGATAATTTGGCAGACGTCCTCTTCTCAATGCTTTTTGCATCGATCCTGACCAACCTCCGAACCGCCTTCCGCGAAGCAGGCCTTAGCGTCTCCATACCTTGGAGCGACGATCTCTTATGTGCTGCCCCTGGCACACCCCTCCCTGACCAGGAGGGGGAGACGGCTCGCCCGATTGATGTGACATGGATGGATGACCTCGCCCTGCTTGTCACATCGGATACGGCTGAGGACCTTCCAAGGCGTGCCATCCTCGTAGCCACTGCCACCATCACTGAATGCATCAAGGCCACCCTTTTGCCGAACCTTGCTGCTGGGAAGACCGAAGCTGTTTTGTGCCTTTACGGCAAAAACTCCAGGCGAACCGCTGCCACTGTCTTCCAAGGTGGAGAGCCCTCTCTCCAGCTTGAGTCCCAAGTCTGGCCACAGGCACGTCTGAGGCTCGTGTCATTGTATCGCCACGTTGGTGGCTTGATACAGGCCGGTGGAGGCCACACTAAGGAACTTCGCTCTCGCATAGGCGCTGCCTGGCAGAATTTTCGGACCCACAAGCGCCTGGTTTTTGGATCCCCGGTAGTCTCGGAGTGGGAAAAAGCGGTCCTGTTTGAGTCCCTGGTAATAAGCACCCTGACCTACGGCATAGGAGCATGGCCCCAGTGCGACCAAAACACCATTGACCGACTCCACAATGTCCTGGTGCACATGGCCAGGATGATGCTTCGGCCCCGCTTTCGCTTCGAACAAGCGTTGCACTTGAGTGCAGGCTATGCCCTAGCGCTTGCCCGGATCCTACCAGCCAGAGACACCGTGCATCTTGAGCGCCTCCGCCAACTGCGTGCCGCGGTTTCACAAGCCACGCCTGAACTTTGGGCGCTGCTCCACTGGGAAGGTTCATGGCTTCGAGACGCCCAGGCCTCCTTGGACTGGCTCAACGAGCGCCTGCACCATGCCGGCCAGGAACAGGAGCTCGTCCGCTCATGGCAGAACGCGATTCAGACCTCCCGGGATCGCCCAGGTCTGTGGAAAAGAAGCCTACGCAGAGCCAAGCTCACAGCTGCAATGGAGGCCAAGTGGAACGCGGAGAAGCAGCAGTTTTACGGCTATCTTTTTCGCCAACTTAGGGCTGCTGGAGCTTATGTGACCGACATTGCCGAAGTCACGCCACCTTCTGAAGTCTGTGGTCCCTGCGGCCGGCTTTTCCGTGATCTTCGATGTTGGGCACACCATGCTTTCAAGGCACATGGCCGCCTCCGAGAGGAGCGCACTCTTGTCAATGGCAAACAATGCCCAGCCTGTTTGCGCCATTTTCGTAATAACGAAAAACTCTGCAATCATGTGAGATATTCGAGAGGGTGTAAACAGCAGCTCCTCGGTGCTGGATTCCAGGCCCAGCCCGCTCCGGGCATTGGCAGCAAAAAATATGATGACGGGCATAGGTCCCAGCTTCCTGTTGTGCGAGCTGAAGGTCCCATGCCCATCTTGCCAGTTGCTCCGATTGCCTTTGAAGCAGACCGTCCCTCAGAAACCGTTCTTCTTCGACTTGAAGACTGTTTCACACATGGACTTTCTTCCGAGCATTCGTTCGCTGCCCTCTTGGACTTCTACCGTCAAGCCTTCTCCGCTGAGTGCCTCCAGAGTACTCGTCTGAAGGCCACCGCTCTTGAATGGCAAAACAGACTCGAAGCTGAGCTTGACGGAGACAGTGATCATCCCATTGAGTGGGGAGCATGGCACACGCGCATCACCCGCAGCCTCCTCCACATTGACTGGGCCGATTGGCTTGTCCCGGATGGGGACAGGGTTGATCACGTTGCTCGCGTCTACCGTGATGCTGAGGTGCTCCTGCCCTGGATCACACTCGATGTTGCTTTGCCTTCTCTTGGTGGGCCCTTCCCTATCTCTCGCTGTTACATGCCGCGCCCTCAGGCAGGGATCTACACTACGACCCACGCTGACTGCAAAAGCAACCCTGCTCTCCTTGCAGTAGATCAATGGCCGATCGAGGACTGGCGACACACTGCTACAGTCCTCTCAGTTGCTGATCTACTTCCCTCCCACGGCCTCCCAGTTCCTCTCAGGTCTTTTGCCAAACTCGAGAAGAGCCTTAGTGCCCTCAGAGCTCATGCTGACCTGATTCGAGGCACCTTGCACCTTTGGATTTCTGGGTGTCCTGCTCTCCTCCTCTCCGCTACCAGTGACTGCCCCGGCCTTCAAGCTTTGGCACAGGTCGCGCCCTATAGAGGAAGCTGTCGGGACCTCCAGGTGTTCGGTAACTACCGTTGGGAGGACTCTCTCTCCTGTCTCACCTTTTAATTACTGCAAGCATACGGCTGCGTCAGACCCTGACTCAACGCCACGAAAGAGAAAAAGAGATATATATATATATATGTATACATGTATGGATATCTGTATATTTCTATATACCTATATATATATATGATATATTCACATATACATATACATACAAACACACGCACATGTAGCACACACAAGCAAAGACGCATGGTGCTTCGGGGTCATGTCCACTCCATAGTCCACAGCTTACCATAGGTAGGCCCGCATCGCAAAATCTACGTTGAGGGCACCAACGGATAGTAACTACAGACCGCAGGACACTAGTGGAAGGGCGTGTACAGTGAGGCTAGGGTCACGAGGGATACTACACTCATCTATATATACTATACTATACTAGACTAGACGAGACTGAAGTAGAGTAGAGTAGACTGGACTATACTGCTGTACTGTACTCTACTGCACTGTACTACGTGCATATGTATAAATAAATAAATATATATATAGAGATGTATGATCAGGATCCCGGGACATGCATTACTAAAGCGTGAAGGGAAGGAGGTGCAAATAGTGTGTGATTGCATGAAGTAGCTATACCGCTGTATGTGTGAGCAAATACGAATAGTGCCATGCAGTGTTCTTATATCATGCGATGTGTACTGCGCAGTGATTGTGGGCATCCAGCTCCTGTCCAGAAGGTGTAGTGAAATCTGCCACTGTCCGGCTTTCTCACAAGCACTCAGGGCTGCATTCGCACTGATGACCTAGGAGGTTGAGGTTCTCACAAAAACGTCGGTCTGTGTTCTATATCGGGCTTCAACGCCCGACCCACAGCTTCTAGTGTCTCTGGTTATCAAGCCTCCCTGCCTAAGGATTCAGAAAGAAATCTGCAAATATTCAGGCCTCATAGCAGAAAACGGAGTTGTTGATCCGGGGTCGACGAAATCTGTGTAAAATCCTACAATTCGAGCCCTAAACAAAGCCCTTACAAGACGGCTTGTTTAAACAAGACAAGTGACGCTGGGAAGAATGCTGCCTGCAGCCATCCCGGAGAGCAAATACACTGCGAGCTCCCACTGGCCTGCCTTGGAACAAGCCTTGGTTGTCTTTGTTGAGCTTAAGTTCATGATTGAAGCACACTTGCATTATTATACAACCAAGCGGCAAAACTAGACCTAAGAGTAACCTAGGAACAAAAAAGGGTGCCCCTTTTGGGTTAAAGGGGGTTATAAGGGGAACCTGAACCCCAAAAAAGGGAATAAGGGCCTACTCTAGGTCCTAGAGAAAGGGTTACTAGCTGGACTGCAGAGAAACGCTCATGCTGGCATTGTAGCTGATGGCATCGCTCTCGATAGTCATCGATGGCAGTTCCCAAAACAACTGGAGCGCCTCCTCCCAAACGCCTGCTTTCTCACAGGCGCTGAGCACCTATGTTGTCGAATTCATGTCTTAAGGCAAACGAAATCTGATCTTCCAGTGTTGGAGGAGAGTTTCTTGTATAATCCCAAAACGCCGAAAATCTGAAAGCTGAACTACTAAGTCACAGCGTTGCAGGTAATGCGTGTGGGCTCGACCTGCATACTTCCCAGTTCCTCCAGCAACTGACATGCCTTTTGCCAGCGGGAGCTCTTCTCACAAGCCGTGATCGCGGCGTTGAAACCTGTCTTTGTCTTCCCCACACCCATCAGAACAAGGCTTCCCTCTCGACAATATCAGAACCTAAACGTGCACAACATTGAGTTAGGGCTTAGAGTTTAACGAATCGGGCTTCCGGGCTTGAGGCCCTACGCTCGCCCTATATAAACCCTATATAAACAAGCCCTAAGGGTCCAAGTAGTTCCTGTCTATGGTTTTTGGTACCTAAAAAGGCCCTAAAGTCCTATAATAGGGAGTACTTGGACCCTCTGGGAAGCTGATCAAGCCTTTTGAGAACAAAGGGGCTGACGATGTTTGCCTCAACTGCCATTTCTGGCATCTCGGAGAGTAGTTGGAGTGCTCTCTGCCATTCGCCGCCTCGCGCCAAAGCGCTGATACCTCAGGCCATCTCAGGACGGCTACCACGCACCCCAGTTTCGTGCATATACCAGCATGCCGATCTCATGAACTGTTAAGATACCCGAACTAAAAACCCAAACCCCTACCTAAACCTCAAAGACTTGTACAGGGAAGTCGTACTAAAGGAGCCATGAAAGGCTAGGTGATTGAAGGTTCGGGTAACCCCAAATCCTCGACCTTCAAAACTATACTGAACTTAGAACCCTAGCAAAAATTGAAATATTAGCTGTGTCTTAGGGCTTAGCATAAATTAAAATCATTTCTAAGTACCCCTAAGTCCTAGTCCCTTTATAGAAGCCTTATGAAACCCCTTGTAGACCCCTTTTTAGAACCCTACAGATCATTTCTAAGTACCCCTCAGAAAACCTCAAAGTCAACATCCCGAAACCCGAGACCGCCAGCAAAAAAAAAAAGGCTTTAGGATGGATTTGGATCCCTTTAAAAAGGGATCCTTTAAGGGCTCCTTAAAGGGATCTATAAGGGTTCTATACAGGGTTTAGGGTTTAGGATTTCGGGAGGTTCCGAAAATTACGCGGGGGGCCGTTCTTTCGGGTCCTTATAATAAGGATCCTACAATTCAGGGCATTATATTATAGGGTCCCCTATTTTCGGGAACTCCCTAAACCCTCATCCCTCAACCCTTTATAGAATTATAGAACCCTTATGAATCCCTTTAAGGAACCCTTCGAAGGAACCCTAGGGTACCCTATTTTCGGAAACTCCCATTTAGGGTTTAGGGATCCCCCAACCTCAAACAAGACTGAACACTGCATCCTCAAACCTTTAACCCCTAAGGGTCCGTGTACCCACATAGTAGTTAAGTACCTATGTAGGGAGTACTTTAGGACCACAGTATGTACTATGTGCTACATGTTGGGTACTGCCCCCAGTCTTTGACAGTTAGATCACTTTTAGAGAAAGCAATACATCTCTCTACGTTGTTTTTGTATAGCCCTTACTATTCGGGAGTTTCCGAAAATAGGGGACCCTAGTATAGTACCCCAACTAGTAGGATCTGTATTATCAGGGAGCCAAAATACGGTACACCCTAATTTTCGAAAAAACTAGAATCCCTAAACCCTTTACCGAACCCGTATATAGATCCCTTGAAGGAACCCTTAATGGATCCCTTTAAAGGAACCCCGAATTTTCGGAAACCCCCATATCTGGACCATCGAGGATTTCTGGCCTATAGATCCCTTTAAGGATCCCTATAGATCCCTTTAAAAGGATCCCTATAGATCCCCTTTAAGGAGCCCTTAATATCTGGACCCTTAGGGATTTCTGGCCAGAAGGCAGGAGCTGACGCTGACGACATCGGCCTGCAGCTGCGCTTCAAAGACTTCGGCGTGGAGCTGGAGAGCCACTTCCCACTGCCCGGCCTGAGGCAAGGTTTCGGGGTTGAGGGTTTAGGGTTTAGAGTTTAGGGGTTTAAGGTTTCGGGCTTAGGGGTTAAGGGAATTAAGGGTGTAGGGTTCAGGGTGCCGCTGTAGAAGGCTAGGTTCCCCAGTAGTATTACTAAGGATAGCCTTTTCCTACTATTTGGTTTTCAATATGTTTTAAAACACAAGGAGCAAAAGGGTACTAGTGGGGAACCTAGCTTCCCAATGCCCAGCATGAGGTACAATGAGTTGCGGTTTCAGGGGGTGAATTTGCTTCATGCACATTGTACTAATCAAGCCCTTCCCCGCCTCAGCAATCCCTGTCGAACCCCTAAATCATAGACCTCCGACTCTCGAACTTTAATAACCAGAAACCCAAAACTCTGAAACTAAACACCCTAAACCTTAAAACTAAACCCGAACCGCTAAACCCTAAACCGCGGAAACCTCACCCCCAAACCTAAACCCTAGACCCCAAACCCCAAAACCTGAACCCTAAACCCCGAAAGCATAATTTGAGCTTTGCCTTCTCGGCGGCGCTGATGCCATGGCTGTAGGAAAGAAGGTCTGGTAGCAGCCTAGTCAGGTTTGCTTAGGGCGGCTTACTTGGAGGTTTTAGGGGGACCTAGTAAGTAGGTAGTAAGTAGACTTATAAGTACCCTCAAAGGGACCCTACGTGGGGTTGTGGTACTTATAAGTCCCTAAAATAACCAGTTACTAAGTCCCCCGACCCTCCAAGTAGGGTGTAGGGGGATTAGGGGTCCCTAGGGTTTAATTAGAAGGGGCTTAGGGTTTCGGGCTTTAGGGGGGGCTTAGGGTTTAGGGGGGGTTTAGGGCTTAGGGGTTTAGGTTTAGGGTTTAGGTCGATGGTTTTCCCTAACCGTTACTGTGGGTCCAAAGGACCTACAGTAGAGTCCAGGAGGTTGGAACATCGGCATCCTCATGCCCTCAAGATACAGTATAGGGAATCCCAGCACTAATCAACCCAAATCCGTGTTCCAACCTTCGGGGATTTACTATAGTAGTTAAGTGATTAGGTTACGAATAGTAGGTTTTGTAGGCGAGTATTTGGGAGAGTATATGATTATGAGGTACTTGGACCCCTCGAGTAACCCCGAAGAACCTGCCTGTTTAAGGACCTGTATCAGGAAGTCATAGTAAGGAACGCTACAGACGGCCGGTTCTGTAGAGTGCAGCTAGGGCTCGTTGGATTTGGGGTTTCAGGCTTAGAGACTGTACAGAGACATACCCGTCCCGCCCCCGCAAGTACCCCGGGATTTTGGAGCCCGGTGGTTCATGGGAGTTTCCGAAACTTAAGGGTACCTTATTTGGGGGTCCTCATAATAAGGATCCTACTATTTAGGGTACCATATTACGGTCCCCCATTTTCGGAAACCCCCTCATGAATGGAGGAACACTGCATAAACTATGAAGGTGCTTCTGCTTATACTGCAGCCGTATTCCTCAACGCTTGGGGCTTTACAGCTTACCTGAGTCCCCCAAAACCTACCCTTTGTAGGGCCCCCGACTTCCTTCTATAAGTCCTTAAAAGGGTACGTTTCCTGGGATCAGGTAGGGTTCATGGACACTGATCTGAGGATTCAGTCATGGGTTTCAGGGTTTGTTCAGACCTTCCCATTTTGGATTTCTGGCTCAGTTCGGATCGCGGAGGCCGGAAGTTAAGATTTCCGGGTTTGGGTGCTTCGACCGTGGGGCGTGGGGTATACAGCCATTTCAAAAGTTGCACCTGTGCGCGTGAAAGGGGAGTCATGAGAAACCCCACAGACATACATGTATACACGCACATGCATCTCTTATGTGTCATCACGCGTGAGTGCGTATATACGCAAACATATAGACATGTACAGATACACAGACAATCATACCACCACCCCCGTTCTCCCTGTGTTGCTGTTGCTCCCTAAACCCCTAAACCCTAAACCCCTAAACCCTAAACCCTAAACCGTAAACCCTCCTGTTTAACAATGGCTCTCGCTCTCTTTGACCCGAAACCGCTGAGGTGATATTCTTGGCGCGCAATGTTCCGCCCCAGACCCCAAAAACCCAAGTCTGGACCCCTTATACCCCAAACGCAGCCCCCAAAATGCTTTCCCGCTAAAGAGTCCACATAGAGCCATAGAGCCCAAATCGAACACGAAGCCTAAACCCTTTACCCTAGGCATCTAAAGAAGCATATATTAAAGCTCTTGGGCCCAAGACCATACTATAAAAGGCTTTTGTGCCATTTTGATGCCCAGGGTTAGCCCCTACCTTAAGCCGGAAACACCTACCTTTTTAGGGTTCCTTACTATGATTTCCTTATATAAGCCCTTAAAAAAGTAGGTTATTCCGGCTTAAGGTACAACTTAGGGAGTCCTCTAAGCCCGAAGCTGCAAAAGAGCGCCTCCAAGCCGGCATGGACCAGAGAACGTCGAGTACCTGGCTGGCTAGACCCAAGGTTTAGGGCTTAAGGTTCAGGGTCATGATCACAAAAAAGTTAAGACTTGCTTCTAAGTACCGCTAAGATATTAGACCCAAGAGTAACCTAGGAATAAAAAGGGTGCCCTTTTTTGCTTAAAGGGGCTTATAAGGGAACCTGAACTCTAAAAAAGGGAATAAGGGCCTACTCTAGGTCCTAGGTGGGGCTTTCCGGGGGGATCGTTTACTGTAACGGCTCCTTCACTCAGGTCTGCTTCAAGTACCTGGGTTCAGGCATTATTTTCTACAGGGTTCAAGAGGCTAAGGGCTGGGCTCCTAGAAGGGTTCCATAAGAGTTCTGCAAGGGTCCAGGGGGGCTTTGTTTTGTTGGATTTCTTGCAGGTTTCAGGAATTAGAGGTCCTTGATTTACGGGTTAAATTAAGAGTTCCGAAGGAACTTCCTGAAAGGGAGTAGTTTCGTTTCATGTGGCATGATAATCTGAATAGAGCGTGCCTAGGGCTCTTATGAAGGCTGTGTGAGTTTAGACTGGATTTTGATAAGGGTTGCAGCATGTGTTCTTGATAGTCTACAGTTCCTTTACGGGTTCCTTCAAGGCTCTTGTCAAGGTTTCATCGGGTTTGACGGGGTTTCATAAGGTTTTGGATATGTGGGCCTTTACTGTGCATGATGGATCGGATTAATATAAGGGATGAAGTCCTGTATAAGTGCAGCAACAAAAAATCATGGTTATTTGTGTTTCTAAGTTCAAGCCCCCGTAACTAGCCCACAAAACACGTTAAATTTTGAAGCCATGGTCAAACAACACAACAGAAACCCTAAACACCAGAAAACACGGTGACAAAAAAAACAACTCAAACGCCCTGTGAAACCACAAAACTCTGACTGAACGCAATAACTGAAAACACCCCAGGAAACTGAAAAAACCAGCCCAGGGTGCCCGCTGCCACTGAGCGGATCGACCCAGAACGGCCAGAGCCTTGTCCAAGCTCCGCACATGAAGATGCCTGGGACAACTCAGGGTTTCGGTAATCGAAGGTGGTAGGGTTTAGCGTGTTATAAGGGCCTTAGTTCCTTTAAATAGATCACCTTAAGGCTCCTGGACCCTTGTAGTGAGAACCCGGACCCTGGCCCCCAAAGCCGAAACCCTCCCCCAGAGAGCCCAAGACCCTCTTTGGAGCCTTAGGGCAAGCTAGGGTTGAAGGGCTTAAGAAGGTTTCGTGCTTCGGGGTCTCGGTTTTAAGGGTTTCAGTAATGTAGGTGTCCACGTACTTGGGGCTATGCAGATTTGAATAGATAACTTGCGCAATCGGCTTTAGGTAATCAAGGAACCTCATAGGATTCATTTGAAAGATTCATCTAGAGCGCTACAAGGGTTGCTATCAGGGCCAGGCTAGGGTGCACTTAGGAAACAGCATCCTTCAAACGTGCGTCTCTGCAGGCATAATCTGCATGTCTATAATCGTTTCAGTCTCGGGACCTGAATAAATCCAACACGGCTTTTTGGCTAGATTGCACCTAAAGAACCCGGAGTAACAATATTCGATTCATTCCGGCCTCCTTTCTCGGATTCTGCGATTCACGGAGGCTTAGATTTCAGAGTTTACCTTAGCCCCAAATAACCTACCTTTTGAGGGACTTATATAAAGCAATCATATTCTAGACCTAAGAGTAACCTAGGAATAAAAAGGGTGCCCTTTTTGGTTTAAAGGGGTTTATAAGGGAACCTAAACCCTACAAAAAGGGAATAAGGGCCTACTCTAGGTCCTAGTAAAGCAATCATATTAGGGGGCCTTAGAAAGGTTGGTTCCTCAGGGTTCCGGTAGAGCTCGAGGTTGAAGGCTCTATGCCTTAAGTTGGGCGGTTTAGGGTTTTAGGGTTTTAGGGTTTTAGGGTTTAGGGTTTAGGGTTTAGGGTTTAGGGTTTAGGGTTTTAGGGTTTTAGGGTTTTAGGGTTTAGGGTTTAGGGTTTAGGGTTTAATCAGCGGCTGCGGATTCTAGAGCTTTTGAGTACGCGGAGGGTTCAAGGTTCAGGACGTACAGAGCTTATAGCGTCTACGGCTTATACAGGTTTTGACTTGCCAAGTATAGGGCTTTCGAGGCTTTACACGGTGTTTCCTGGAAACCGCATAGACCGGCTAACACCCCAAATTTGTGGCGCTGGAGTCTACCAAACCCCAGGTTGTGACCCCTTTATTTTCGGGTAGAACCCCTAAAACAACGACCTTACGGTCAAAGACTTGGGGCTCCAGGATCTGGAAGTTTCGGAAACCAGCGGGCCGTGTCTACAATTCCCTCTGCAACTCTGATCCTGGAGAGACCCTAATTATCAACCCTGCCCAAAGCCCCAAATCTTTTTTTGTAACATGGTCAAATTGGTGCTACAACGAGAACTCCTTCCTGCTAAGGACTCGTAGTTAAAGGCTCTTGGGCCCAAAGACCATATTGGGCCCAAAGACCATACTGGCTTTTGGGCTATTTTGCCCCCTAGGATTCTCACCCCGCTGCACCTACAATCCAAAGTATCCCAACGCAGAAAAGTCGCTAAACCTACTTCTCCGACGTCATGCCCCTGACCTAGTCCTAAGGATGCCCCCAACCCTAAATCACAAACCACACACTCCCCAAAACTCGTAGAAACCTCTGATGCTGTCACAATACGATTTCTGCCGAAGCCGGTCTTCCAAGCTTTGCAAGGAAGCCTCTCCAGAGTTTATAAGGTCTCGGGTTTAGGGGGCTTTAGGCGATTTACAGTAAAGTTTAAGGTTTGGGTTGTCTAGAGTTTAAGGCTTGAAGGTTTAAGGTGTCAAGGTGCAGGCTTTAAAAGCTTCAGAAAGGCTTGTATTTAAGGAATTCTGGGCGAATGTCTGAAAGGCCCGCTTGCCAAGGTAAACCTATTCGCAAGAACCCGCTGCATGTACATATTCTTGCCCGAAGAAACTGGTTCCTAGCGGTTTGCCCAAATTTTCGTCGGGTCGAGGGTCGCGGTTTAGTGTTACGGGTAGGACGTTCAAGGTCCCCAGCCGAACGATGCCTCGGGCTTAGGGTCCTGGGCTCCGGGTAGACAACTTAGGGTTTAGGGCCCAGGGTTCGAGTGCAGGGTTTAAGGTTCAGGCTTTAAGGCTTAAGGTTGAGGGCTTGGGGTTCAAGGTCTAAGGGCTCAGGGCTAAGGGGTTTGGAGTTTAAGGTTTCAGCGAAATACTAAGCCAGGCCATTTGAAGATTGAAATGTTCTGCAACTGATAAGCGAGTTGGGGGTTTGTCCTTGATGAACATGTGTTGGGCTCGCTTTAGGGTCTGTTTAGGGGATAGGGTTCAAGGGCTTAGGTTCAAAAATACCTACAAGCCGGGCTTCAAATAATACAAGTGTAGGCAGAGGTGGTCATAACATCAAGCAGGGTACCTGCATGTTGCTGAGCCTTGCGTCGGGCTGGTTTTGCTCTCGACCACGAGGTTGAAGCTCTTTCCATTGCTGGGTTCGACGAACCATGCTGCTTGGGAATGGCTCCTCATCTTGTGCAGCATTGCAGTGGCAATGCGATTCAAGGGTGCACCTGCATCAAACTGCTGGCCGACATCCGGATGTAGTCCGTCATGCATCTTTTTTGTTGGATGCGGGCTTTGAGTGCTCGTCTGCTCTCCTACGTGAGAGGCCTAGTCTGCAAGGCAGTTGCTGCACTGATCCGGGCCTCCGGACCCATATGGTTACATTGAGTCTATGTGACTCAAGCTGGATCCTGAATAGGTTTCTATATGCAAGCCATAGTACGGGACCCCCAAAAGGTAGGCTGGCTCGTCATCAGGCAACTTCTGATTTACAGATGCTGCACAAAGCGTCAGATGAATGAAATGCAGAATGTAGATCTTGAAGCGCAAATCGGCACTTCAATTTGCGCAAGAAGCGTGTCTCATGAGAGAGCGCCTCTCTTGGAGGGTGCAGATATCCCTCAACCAGACTTGACCCGGCAACCTTGCCACGCCAGCCAAACGAATCTTCCCTTGCTACTTGGAAGGGCAGGGGACTTAGTAAGTCGTTTATAAGTAGGGTTATAATTGGGGTAACTCCATTTGGGGAACGTATAACTCTACTTGTAACCTACTTACTAAGTCCCCTGCCCCTCCAAGTACCGTCCGGCATACCGGACTGGATGCATGGTGGAAGCTCCTCGGCCTAATAGATTACAATATACTGTATGGTATACTGTAACATGCTATGATACATCTTATAATCTACCATGATCTACGACGGTATACCTTGATCTACTATGATATACTGTGGCATCCTACACGATATACCATAAAACATGAAAGGTCCGAAGCATTGCCAGACTCCGAAAAAGCGTTCAGGAAGCGACACACCTTGGTTTAGGGCTTAAGGTTAGTTGCGAAGCAAAGGGTTCACCAGAAGCAAGCTCTACTCAACTCTAATGGGCTATACAGTATAAGCAGGACTGCCAAGTATACAGTCCTTGCAGGCACGTTTATGAGAGGCAACCCCCTACACAGGTTATAGACCTGATTCAGAAAAGCGGGGTTTTTATGGTCGGTCGAAAATTGAACCCTAAACCCTGCCCCCAGGTACCAATAATGTACTTCTTTTGACAGGGGTCTCTGCAAGGCCTGAACCTCTAAACGCCAGTTCCTAAACCCTTACACCTCAAGCCAGAACCCAAATCCCTCAAGCGCCTAACTAACCAATGGTTTTGGGGTTCCCTTGGCTCTTTAGCTCCTTCTTTAGTAGGGATTATCATCATAAGTGGCTCCTTAGCTCCTCCAACATCGAAGGCTAGCTAATGCTAAGCTCCTCAAGTTATTTCTCTGCGCCTGCCATGGCTCCTCGCGCAGCTTGCGTGCCGAGCATGGCGGGCGAAGAGACGCGAGCTGCATGCCATGGGGCTCTGAATGACCGAGATGTAAGGCGACGTTGCTACCGAATCTACGATTTAGGGCTTATAGAGTTTAGGGTTTAGGGCCAGGGTCCATGTGCCCACAAAGTATCTACTTGGGCCCGAAAGCACCTATACAGGTTGTACTTTAAGACCAGAGTACACCTAATATGTGAGTACCTGATTTTGGGACTTGTATGAGGTTAACCCAACAACGTAGATTTTTCGGAGTTAACATAGGATAGGCTATCTGGTTTGAGGATTTCTTTAATACCTACCCAGGCTCTGTGATATTGAGAGTAGGGGTAATCGGTTTAGGGCTGTTAAGGTGGCTTCCAGCGAGTTATGATTACTGAATGAACTCGGAGACTGCAGTTTAAGGTTTATGGTTTATAGGGTTTAGGGGTTTAGGGCTTAGGGGCTTGGGGTTTTGGGTTTAGGTGCGGTGGAGTCTATGCTTCGTGGTACAAGAATTCTAGGGCTGATGGAAGAAATCCAGCGGCAAGCATGCGGCCGTGGCGGAGGAGCTGGGTTTACCCATAGGCCCCATAGTAGTTCCTTTTTGGGATTTATCTTTATAAGGTCCTGTGATCCTTACAAATAAACTACTATGGGGCCTATGCCCAGACCCCCGGGAGGATCTAGAAAGTAGATCCCCTAATTTGGGGCCCTCTACTACTAAGGGCACTTTAGAGGAACCCCCATGGAGGGGTCTACTTTTTGGATCCGCCCGGGGGTCTGGGTGAGTGCGGCTTAGGATGGTTTGGGGATGATGAAGTTTAGGGTCAGCAGGGTTCGCAGCTGGAGCGTCGTGTGAGCCCTCCAGCAGGATGAAACCCTGGATGATTAGGGTTTAGGTTTTATAGGGCTTAGGTTTTAGGGCGTAGAGTTTAGGGTTTAGGGCGTTTAGGGCTTACGGTTTAGGGCTTAGGGTTTAGGGCTTCGGGTACCCGTCAGCAACCACTGAACCCTACACCCCACACGAAACTGCTCCATCCTCAGCGGCATCCAAAATGCACCAAGCACCCTTGAACTTACCTTTGGTGAGTAGGGAATAGGGGAACGGTAGTAATAGTAGTTATACTTGTATCCCATTCCTCCATTCCCTACTACGTAACCCAAGGTAAGTGAAGGAACCTTTCCAAGAATCCGTACAGGAACCCTTGAAGGGACCTCACGAAAAAACAAGCTTGACATGAAATGACGTTGAGCACAGGTCCCGGCTAAACAGCTTGTCAGCAGACAAAACCCGAACAAACTGGCCCACCTGCTAACACTTCTTAAACCCTAAAACGGTTTAGGGTTTAGGGTTTAGGGTTTAGGCACCATGAACTCCATCAGCAGCAAGTCGACACAAGCTTCCCAAGGAAGCAGGTTATGTACGAGCCTAAGAAATCATTGGCGTTGGGTCTTAGGATACTTCGTAATAGCAGTATACCAAGGACCCTGGGCCCTTATGACGATTGTAGCGGTCAGGTAGCAGGGATGCTAAGATGTATTGCTGCATTAATTACGCTGAAAACCCGAACCCTAACCTATGTAACCTCATGACCCTAAAAATTTGAACCCTGAAAGCCGCACAATGTGGGGGGCATTAATGATTAGAATACACTACATCGTGTACCTCCCCGAACCTGCCAAAAACCCTACCTCAAGCACAGCGCCCTTAGAAGGGACTGAGTCTTCTTGCCCCTCCGGCAAAAACACACCGAACAATGACGACCCCAAACCGCAAACCCTAAACTCTCAACGCCTTACCTAAACCCCTAAGGATGTAAAATAAGCCCATAAAAGGCTACATGCTTCTGGGGTCCAGAAGATAAAGCCTGAACCATCGAAGCCTCAGAGAACTTTGAACCCCTGCACCTCAAACCCCTAAACACCCCTATACCCCTACGCCCTGCACCCTAAGCGGAGACCAAGTCTCTAAGAAGGCGGAGCCCAAGCCGTCGATGCCAACGATGAGGACCCTTCGGGCCCTGGCAAATAAACCCCCAAGGGTCCACGCATTTAAGGGTTGATTTTTTTGGTCAGGGCTTTGGGTTTTAGGGGTTTTAGGGTTCAGGGTTTGGGGTATTTAGGGCTATAGGTGCCCAAATAGTAGGGCTCTTGTCATGGGTTTCTTTAAGGGTTCGTTTTTTGAAGGTTGCATTTAACGGCCTAAATACACAAACAGTCCGTAGTGTTTCAGGACTCCACAACCTTTTCTGAGTACACTTAAGGACAGGCTTGTGTTTTTGGGGTTTCGGGCTTCGGCACGGAATAGTTGGTGAAGCGTGTTCTTGCCATGTTGTCTGTAAGATCATTAGAAGGGTCTTTCCGGGTGTCGTGACATGTTGTTTTGAACAGTGATCATATCTCATGGCATAGGGTTCCTTATCCCTCATCGATTAGAACATGTAGGAGTTGGGCTACCTTAACCCAGAATAACCTACCTTTCTAAGGACTTACTTAAGGACATCATAAAAGGGAACCCTAGAAAGGTAAGGTATTCAGGGATACTATACTGAACTTAGAACCCTAGCAAAAATTGCAATTTTAGCTGTTTCTTAGGGATTATATTACAAAAAAAGCAAAAACTATTTCTAAGTACCCCTAAGGTTAAGGTAGGGTTTAAGCACTGTCTTGGGGAGGTCTCAGAGCTCGCCATCTACAGGTCTGGCAAGAAAGATGTGATCCACTGCCGCCCGAACCCCTAAGCCGTATACCCGTATATCCTAAAGTTTAGGGTTAGGGTTTAAGGGTTTAGGGTTTAAGAGTTGATGGAGTCTTAGGGTTACGAAAGCCCATGCCAAACCCCAAACCCTGAACCCCATGTAACCCCTAACTCCTAAAGCGTAAACCCCCTGAACCTTTCCATGGCCCGCTGCCTCTGCGAAGTCTTCTCTGCAGCCGCCATTCGGAAAGATCGAGGTTTCCAAATACAAAGGGCCCCCTACCTTTAAACGGGGCACTATAGGACTATGGTACCACTGCTTAGGGTTTAGGGTTTAGGGTATAGGGTTCAATATTAAGATTCCCTTTCGGGGTACTATGGGGTTCAGCGATGGAGTCCCCTGCTAGAGGGGGTTCTGGGGCTTTAGGGTTTAATATCTTCAACTACATTTACTAGGATACCCAGTAACCTAAGAATAAAAAGGCCTCTCTTTTTGGTATTGGGTATCTTTAAAAGCAACCTAGGACTACAAAAAGGGAATAAGGGTACTACTGAGCATCCTAGCCCCCAATTTTCGGAAACCCTAAACCCTATATAGAACCCTTATAGATCCCTTTAAGGAGCCCTTATAGATCCCTTTAAAGGTACCCCTACTACTGGGCATCCTAGTTTACACGGCTTCGGGTTTCGTCTGGATAGGCGCCTTTTCTGAACTAGGGGTTCCATACTTGGAGGGTCGGGGGGTAAGTAGGTAGTAAGTAGACTTATAAGTACCATAAAAGGGACCCTATTTGGGGTTATGGTACTTATAACTCCGTAAAATAACCAGTTACTAAGTCCCCCGACCCTCCAAGTAGGGTGATATAGGGGCCCTAATAATTGATCGGAATAGGGATTCGGGGCCGAATAATTAGACTATAACTATATTATTCTATAGTAAGGAACACCCAAACTAGTATAGGAAATTATTTATGCCCTGATAATACCAACTTAAAGAGAATAGTAAAAGGGCTTCCAACCACCGGCTGCGAGCTGTCTCAGCCCCTGCATTCTGCAAAGTATGTCTATAAGGGATCTATAAGGGGGTCTATACAGGAATTAAGGAAAATGGCTTAAATTATATAGGGCTTCATAGTATGTCGTGATTTTGAGCCCTTGGCTGCAAGGTGCCGCTGGTTGTCAAACCTCTTGGGTACTACTTATGGTTTCAGGATCAGTGCCTTTGCTAGACCCTTGAAGGAACCCTAGGTACTCTGAACGCCTGAAATCCTGAACCCCTAAAGGGCCCCTAAACCCTAAACCCCTGAAATCCTAAACCCTTAAAGCCCTTATACCCTAAACCCTAAATCCTTGTAGAACCCTTAGAGGAGCCCCTATAAAGGCACCTCTGAAGGCAAGTTTAGGGGTCGGTTTTTAGGGCGGAATCTTTCATGTTTCGGGGTTCATCCGTCGGTTTAGGGTTTAAGGGTTTAGGGGTTTAAGGGTCTAGGACTTCAGGGGTTTAGGGGTTTAAGGGTCTAGGACTTCAGGGGTTTAGGGGTTTAGGGGTAAAAGATTTCAGGGTTTAGGGCTTCAGGGGATTTCAGGGGTTTTGGGTAATAAGGATCCTACTATTAGGATACTTTGGATACTGTATTGGGTGCTCTTTTGTTGGAAACCGCCATATGGAAAACCCCATAGAGAGGTACTGCTAAAGGTTGAAGGCTCCTAGGAAGGGAAAAGAGTGAACTCTAACTCCTAAACCGTGTCAACCCCAAGTGCAAGCTGGAAGCCCATGAAACATGAATCTACCCAGAGATCCCCAAGACCCCTTAGTGAAGGAACAAACCTTAAACTATAGGGGACTTGATACTATGAGTTAATTAAGGTATATTCCCTAAGTAAGGGGTTTTGGGATCAAGGTAGGAAGGCAGAAAAAGCGGTCCTTTCATTCATGCCATTAACCCTGGGGCATGTCACATGCTGCGCGATTGAGATTCCTACATTCGACGATCTCTAACTAAGCCTCAGTGGATGATTGTCTCGGTCATACCTATCATGAACATATGCATACATACATATATGTATATATACATATAACAGAGAGAGAGAGAGAGAGAACGAGATAGAGACAGAGAGAGAGAGAGAGTGAGAAAGAGAGCTCCAGCAACAGCTGAGACAATCATACATGATAGCTGCTATCAACGTCAGACGGCTGATGGCGATCACTCCTCCAAGTAGTTTCTATATAGGTACTTGAGGGCCAAGGCGTATACTATATGAGCATGAGCACATGGACCCTTAGGGTCCCCTTGAAGACGCTCCCGAAAGTGTCCTTGAATATGTCAGTCGATCCACCGTTCGCA